AATTCCAATTCATATTCCAGAATGATAATGCTCTCGCGACAATGTTCAGTCCACAATGCATTCCCCTGGTTCCTAATCTTGGAGAGACACTCCAGCAGATGGGGTTCAAAGACTTTGAAACTCACGCCCCCGAGACTAACGACATCGATAGTCAGTTGCATCCAGTACTCCAATTGTTCGATGAGCTTCCTCAAAGTTTCCGAACTTGGGGGTGGAGCGGTCGGCGGATAAATAAAACAATTCTCATAATCAGTACGAGTGGGAGTGTGCGTAGCTTCAAATGATAGCTTTTCGGGTACATCTGGCGCTGAACCGGGGACGGTTAATTTCTGCTCACCTGTTGGTATTTTAGGATTAGGAGGAGCAGCTGGAGGCATAGTATCCCCGCTGTTTTCAGGAGGTGAAGCAAGTGTCGACTTCATGGCATCCCCCATCAACTTAGCTTTCTTGGAATTCTTAGCTGCAACGGGTTGTCGTTTGCGAATTCTTCTATCGTATTCGCCTACCTCCTCAGCAGTAAGAGCTTTCTTCCCTGAAGATCTCAAGGGGCGAGGTCCAGAAGGAGGTGCTCCTTCAAGAGCCTCTTTTACGTCCTTTTCCTCAGAAGGCTCAGTAGCAGGTAATTCCTCTGGGATCTCTTCGATTCCGACCGCCTCTCGTTTGCAGGACAGATAATCCTCTATCCCTGGTAGTCGAGTCCTCCCGGAACCACTTCTTGATTTATAAAGTTCTCGTATTTTGTTTATACATGAAGTATAAATGTCATATTCTGGGATTAGAGAAGCTTTATCAAACCAGTTGCGGAAATCTGCTACGGTGGAACAATTAGGTGGTAAATTAGGCAGAGTAAACTGAGCATGAGTTCCTCGAGCAATAAAGAAATACCAAGCACGAGCTCCTTCATACAGATTCCCGATGTGAGCTAGTTGTGGGTTAGGGTTACCAACATAAAGCTGGTCATACCCGAACTGTCGAGCGAAACGTGAAGGAACGTAAGGCTCAATTATGCATCTTTCACCTATTCGGAAAACCAGGTAACCCACTCTGATAGTGAGAAGCCACTGGAAAGTCCCTGTATTTAAAAGTGAGGACCCTTCAAAGACTACGTCACCAAACTTTGGAACTTCTTCTTCAAATCCATCAAAACAAGGGCGGCAACAAAAGAGGTCATAGCTGGCTTTCGAAGATAAAAGTTGTCTAGCCCGCACTATGTACGCAGTCGTCCATGTGGTTGGCTCAAGCCTTCGCACGAAAGGAATAGAGGTCTCATTATTATGTATAATCCCCCGCATCAAAGAGGGACAGTGCAGCACAAACCAAGCCACTAAATAAGTGTAGGTCATTGGTGTGCGGGGTTGAGAAGTCTTCCAAACTTTCCTTCCGGCAACATTCATCTCCTTGACATCAAGGAGTTCAGAGATCATATCCCGCAAGCCTCTCTGCAAACAACCTGTCATCGCAGGAAGAAGACTGAGAGGTCTTCCGTGAGCCAAGAGAACGGCTGGGTAAACAACCTCAATCAAGATTGACTCAGCTGGTTTTGTCGGCACGACGCATCGTTTCAACCATAGCATCAAGAAACCAACGAGAAGGGCTGTGTCAGAAATAGGAATTGTAGCTTGATAATGGAAACTGTCAAACTCACTGTCAGCTTCAAATCCATCTTCCAAACACGTATTCTTATAAACAGCATTAGGAGTCTTGATGCGAGCTTTGATGCTTTTAGCAGAGCTTACACCAAGACGGGTCACTTTCAGATCTTTTTGACCCAGGTTCTGAAACAAATAATCTGCCCAGGTAGTATGCATGAGACCACCCCCACGCATCCCAGCGACCTGAGCGCAGATGTGAAAATGACATAGCAACTCCCAAAAAGTGCTGTATATCTCTGGATGAGCAGCCTTCAGGAGGGAGAATTCTTCAGTGGTTGGAATAAATTCTTCATAAGGCGTTTGCCCGAAGGATAATCCCGATATTGCATGCATCTCATGGAGAGCAAACCCCAACTCCCCAACAGGAGTGAAAAAGGTGCAGCTATCCGGATTATATCGCTCCAGCATGGCGAAGAAGCAGGGATAGCTCTGAGTGATCCCACATCTAGTAGCCCGTACTGATATCATAAGGCCAGACTGAGCAAGAGGTTCCTTGAGTTCCTCAAGGACAAAATCCACCATCCGAGTCCACCAACCATCTTCTCCAGAAAACAACCAACCAGGAGAACGGAAGGCTTGTGTAGGAAATTCGCCTTGAGCAGCAATAAATCGGCGTATGAAAATATTCGCTGGAAGAGGTGTCTCCTGAGTGAAGCCCTTTTTCTCAAAACAACCAGGTCTCAGACCTTTGAGTTGTCCGCCAATTTGAACACGAGAGGATCGACCAGATCCAAATGAGATGTTCTCTTTCTCCTTGACAAGATCGAAGGCCAAGCCCCTACGACCACCAACACTCAGGAAGCATGAAAGCGGGTTCATTCTCTTCATGCTGGGAAGGAAGAATAAACGATCATCGACTCTGCGCAGCATCCGGGAGTCTTCTACATACCCGACTTGTCCATCGGCAGATATATGGTCACCGAATAAAAATGAGGGTTTGACAAATTGATCCAAACCCGCAGGAGTTTCCAGATCCAGATCGGTGATCAAAGCCCTAAGGGTGGAACACTCGGCAAACCTGATTAAATGTTCCCGCTCCAAACTTGGGAAAGTGCATAAAGGAATTTCTCTACGAAGACCAAAAGCTCTCCCCACTTCGGGATCATCAGTGTAGTTGAAGTGCTGCTCCGGCAGAAGTGGCACATTGGGAAAAAGCACTGTAAAATCAGAAGCAATAGTTAGTAGCAGAAAGAGGTTGCTAACATGAAATAAACACGAAGAGTAAATTCTACGTGGTAAGCTTTAATACAAGAGCCAACCCTTGTATTAATACCAGAGGCCAAGGCCCGTGATCAAACATAGGAGTCTTAACTCTATGCTTCCTTAAACTCAGAGTCATAAGCCTGCGTTTCCAATTTTTAACACAGAGTTCTAACTCTGCGTTCCCAATTCTAACATAGAAACTTAACTCTATGTTTCCTGAACGCAGTCCTAAGTCTGCGTTTCCAATCTTTTTAACACAGAGTCTTAACTTTGCGTTCCCAATTTTAACACACAGATTTGGCCCTATGTTCCTTAAACGCAGAGCCTTAAGTCTGCGTTTCCAATTTGTAACACGGAGCCGTAACTCTGTGTTTATGGTAAGAACGAGTCATCTTCCTCGTTGAGGAGAACCCATCTAGGGTTTTCAGAAAACTTGTCGAAACAAGTAGCCACGACCACCGCTTACCACAGCACCGAGGTCCATGTGACAGCGACAGCAATGCCGAAGCACTTGTCAGAACAGCGACATCGCCGGCTTTCTCGGCCGGCGGCGCCTCCGAAGCCGTCTTGGCGACTTTCTTGGAACCCGCACTCATCCTCCTGGGCGCCATGCAGGTGGTTAATCGGAGAAGACGGAGTTCGTCGGAGAGAATTAACCGAAAAGCAATAGAAACGAGAATTCTCATTCTTGGAACTAAGCAAGGCAAAAAGAGTCGAATGACTCTTGATGTGACCTTACAGGCCTATTTATAACAGCCGTCGGGCTGTCAAATCAGATCGGGACTCTAAGAAAGAATCCCAACTGAATCTAAAACGTGATTTTCCACGTTAACGGATAAAGTCGGTTAGACTTTAACGCAGAGTTAACTCTGCGTTCAAATTCTTCAAACGCCAGGCCTAGATCTGCGTTGCAATGGTTCTTAACTCTGCGTTTCGAACCTCAAATGCAAAGGTCGCCTCTTTTGTGATGCAATTATCCTAAACGAAGGATCCACCTTGGTATTTTCAAACATGATACTTATTTCAAAAAGTTCATGAACCCTTTTAATATGACATTATTAAACCTTGGTATTTCCTCAGCAGGGTTTAAATCATCGTCAGGTTAATATTACACCTCAGACGGATGTTATATCCCACAGAGCTTGAGTTTTGTTTACATCGTTGTAACAATGATTCCTCTGTCAAAATCCACTTATTGATTCTCATCAAAAGAACAATAAGTCTCCAAAATCATTTAAATCATGATCAATTTACTAACTCTCCCTAACAGAGTAGTAAATATTCAATTTATCGACTCTCCTTAATAGAGTGATAAAATTCTTAAAATCTTGTTCAAATCACAAGTATCACAATTCATCGCTCCAATGATGAAATACTTAGCAGTCTTCCTCAGAGAGGCTCTACGATACCCTTTCCTCACAGATGTCACGTTAACACTACACCTCTGACAAAAATCTACTTATCGACTTTCTTCAATAGAGCGATAAGTCCTCAAAATTGCTTCCATAGCAATATTCCTTTTGTCACGTTAACACTACACCTCTGACAAAAATCCACTTATCGACTCTCTTCAATAGAGCGATAAGTCCTCAAAATTGCTTCCATAGCAATATTCATGTTGTCTTTCTTCAATAGAGCGATAAGTCCTCAAAATTGCTTCCATAGCAATATTCCTTTTGTCACGTTAACACTACACCTCTGACAAAAATCCACTTATCGACTCTCTTCAATAGAGCGATAAGTCCTCAAAATTGCTTCCATAGCAATATTCATTTTGTCACGTTAACACTACACCTCTGACAAAAATCCACTTATCGACTCTCTTCAATAGAGCGATAAGTCCTCAAAATTGCTTCCATAGCAATATTCTTCTTGTCATGTTAACACTACACCTCTGACAAAAATCCACTTATCAACCCTCCCTAATAGAGTGATAAACCCTCAAATTACGCTGATCGCGATTGCTCGCATGTCAGAGTAAAATCATACCACTTACAAAGATTAATCTATTGTTTCTTCCCAATAGATCGATAGATCTCCAAATCTCTGTTATGTTAACAAATCACCTCTAACAGTTCTAACCTGTTTGAACCAGTTAATTCTTCTGCAAAGGAATGACGAGTGTTCATATACCCCCCCAACAAGTTAAAGTTTTTCTAGAATTATCTTAGATGGTAATAAAGGAAATTTTAAAGATTGGGTATTTTTCCATTGTTGCAAGTCAGAACACGACACATACAATGAAAAGAGACAAACCACAGCACCAGAAGCGTCCACAGCATGTTGCTTCTGAATGCATTGCCCCTGTACGGATGCAATTTCAAGTTCCCTTTCAGTGATGGCTTCTTGAAAAGATTCGTATTGGCGGGCCGCCTCAGCTTGAAGATTACCAAAGACTAACGCAGCCTGAGCAGCAAGATCAGCCTGATGCAATTCCTCCAAAGCTCTCAGATCTTTTTCCAACCGAGAGATGCCTTCAGAGCAGTGCTGGAACAATCGAGCATCATCCACATATCGAACGTTGTTCAAAGAGTTCATGAGTATTGGTTTGAAAAAATCGAATGAAGCTCGTCCAGCACTGATCTCCTCAATTGCTATCTTCATCATATCTTCCAATGGTCGTAAAAGAGCTTTTAGAATGGAAGGGATGGCCACTGGATTCAGAGACTTCATCGGAGATGTCGATGGGGAGCCTAAAAGCATAGACCCTGATGCAAAAGCAGTGGGTGATGATCGTGAAGAAGTCGGAGAAGCTATGGTGATATCCAATTGCGAGGGACTGGAAGGTAGAGCCATAAGTGCCCCTGTTTGGGTTGAGCTTAGCACAATCTCCGTCCCCACAGGTTTGAGAGGAATCGTCAGCGAAAGAGGTTCTCCTGGTAAAGAACTTGTTGTCACCAGCATTGGTTCAGATGGAGGAACGTCTGCTGCTTGCGGGTGGGCAGACGATGACTTACCAACAGCCTCGGGAGGTAGAGAACCTACACAATAGAGCAGTCAGTATAAAAGAAAGAAACACCAGAGAAATCAAAGTGTGTAATTTCTACCAGTAGGGTAAAAAGGAAGATAGCCAGACGCCTTGTCAGAAGGTGGTGGTGGTTGATCCGCCCAAGCATGAAAGTCATCATCATCACTTTCATCCTCATCAGCATCATCATCATGGTGAGACGAGCTCCCATAGTCTAATGGTTCGTCATTGTCAGCGACTGAAAGTCCAGGAGAGCTCACGTTCGTATCCACTTATGTCAGCCGGCCAGTCGTGGGACTAGGAATAATAGTCCCCGAAGGTGGCAATAGTACAGAGGAAGCGAGAGACTGACTCTCATTAAGATTCGCAGGTTCATCTATCGCCAGTTCATCTGTAGGCAGTTTAACCCTTTCAGACGAAGACGTTGCAGGCAGTACCCCTGCAGGTGAAGAAGCAGCACCAGGAGTCTGATCTAGAAATGGTGAGATATCGGGATCCGTTGCAGAAGAAACCCCCATATCCCCACTTGGGAATTCATCTCCACCCTCTGCTTGATCCAAGGGACAGTGAGGGGGAAAATTCTTCGAAAAATGTAGATCCCTCAGGATGAGGATCGACGTGATCAGGGCGACTTGCAACAGCTGACTCTTGCTCTTCCTCTCCACCGGCAGATTTGAAAGCATCCGCCATTAGCCTCTGAGCAGGAGGGTCTACCAGCAGCTTTCTACGAGTACGTTTCTCATATTGAGCTTCTTCTGCTTCAGAGAGAACCCTCTTTCCAGTTGCTTTTGCTCTCAGAGCTTCAGCAGCCTTAGGGCTCGCTACCGGGGCACTCTCTAGTCCCAATTCTCCTTCTCCTTCTTCAGCTGCATCTTCAAAATGTAAAAACTCGTCGATCCCCTTCAGACGAGACACACGACCACCTCCTTTCCGGGATGAATACATCTTCCTAATCACACGAAGGCCTGAAGAGTACAGTTTATAATCTGGCATCGTAGAAGCTGTATGATACCAGTTACAGAAAGCCACGGAGAGAAGAGAATTAGGTGTTTTGTGGGGCAATCTGAAGGTAGCCCCAGTACAACCTGCGGTGGAATAATACCAGGCTCGAGCTCCTTCGTATATGTTGCCCATAACTGAAAGCTGGCTCCTCGGATTCCCAACGTATAGTTGGTCGTATCCGAATTGGCGAGCAAACCGATACGGTTGATAGGGCTCAATTATACATTTGTCATTTTGCCTGAAGAGGAGATAACCAGGCCTAATATTTAGCAGCCAGTGGAAAACTCCCCCGTCCAAACGGGTAAAACCATTAGGACCAACGGTATCTTGGAATACCTGTCCATATCCTCCACCCTCAAAATCCAGGAAGCAGCGGAAGATGTCGTAGCTGAGGCCTCTTGACAGAATCTGACGGACCCTCACTACGTAAGTGCCTATCCAAGTAGCTTTTTCTAATCTCTGCACGAAAGGGATGAAGCCTTCATCCGTAGCAGAGGGGGCACTCATCAAATGTACACAATGTGAGGCGTACCAAGCCATTAGATATGTATACGGCAAGGGTACTCGAGGATTGGGAGTCACTAAGCTTTTCGTTCCTTCAGAGTCTATCTCCTTCACTTGAATAAACTCGAGACACAATTCCCTCAAGCCATGCTGCAAACAACACGTCATGGCTGAAAGTAGATTTATGGGTCTCCCATGAGCTAAGAGAACAGCCGGATAAGCTACTTCAATCATCACAGCATCTATTGGTCTGGTAGGAACCACACACCGCTTCAGCCACAGCATGAGAAAACCCGCCAATAATGCCATATCAGAGATGGGAGTAGCTGCCTGGTGATGGAAGCTCTCGAATTCAGTCTGTGCTGGGAAGTCATCTTCTATTCCCTCGCTGACATAGTGAACGGTGGCGTCATTGATCAAAGGCTGAATGGTCTCAGGAGTGCTCGCCTCCCGACGAGACACGGTGGCAGCCTTGTTGGACAAATTCTGGAAAAGATATTCAGCCCAAGATAGCTGTTTGATACCACGTCCACGTGCTCCTGTTAGTTGACTGCAGATTTGAAAATGACACATCACCTCCCACAGAGTGTCATATACCTCGGGGTTCGTCTCCTTCAAAATCTTCAGCTCACTTGACCCAGGGACAAACTCTTCATATGGTAAGTCTCCAAAAGGAAGACCTGAGACATCGAACATCTCATGTAGGGCAAACCCTAATTCTCCTTCCGGTGTGAAAAACGTGCAAGTCTCTGGATTGTACCGTTCCAGAATGGCGAAGAAGTTATAAGGACTAAGAGCGATACCGTATTTGGTAGCCATAATAGGGCAACCAAGCCCATATTGAGCTAATTGCCCCTTTAATTCTGCCAACACGAATTCTATCATTCGTGCCCACCATCCTGCCTTGGTGGAATGTACCCATCCAGGAGCTCGGAATAGTGCAGTTGGGAATTCTCCTTTGGCGGCTAAAAATCGTCGCATGAAGGTGTTAGCTGGGCTAGCAGTTTCTCCTAAAGGATATCCCCGTGAGAATAAGCAGGGTTCTATGGCCGACACTTGTCGATTATAACCAGCGGTATGCACGCCCTTGTGAGTCAGAACTCCAACAGCTACCCCATCTTGCTCTCTCACCAAGTCCCAATTCATGTGGCGGGGAACAGAAGCACATTGGTAGTAAGAGATGGGAAACATCCTGGGCATGTCAGGGAGGAAGAAGCGACAGTCTCCGATCTGCCTAAGCCATTTGTAGTGACCACCGTGCACGATCTCCTTTGAAATAGCGACGCGGTCCCCAAATAAAAAAGCTGGCTTGGCGAGTTTCTTGCGGGACCTAGTCTCAAACTTAGCATCCGTAACTAAAACCCTGAGTACATCTGTACTTGGATCCGAGACCAGGGTGACACGATCGTTGTCAGTGTCTTGGAATATTAGGAGTTCTTGACGCAGATTGAATTGCATGTTAAAGTCCACGCCTCCCCCATGCCCGAAGTGGTGACGAAGATTGAGAGGTTCGCGGGTGTAAGGCACTGCAAAAGAAAGAAATATTCAATCAGTCAAATGAAGGGAGCTTTAGTTAAGTCCATAAGAAAGAAAATTATCAAACGCACAGTTCAGATCTGGCGTTTAATTTTCATCAACGCAGAGGTCAAACTCTGCGTTAAGCTTTCAAATGCACAGTTCAGACCTGGCGTTAATTTTCATCAACACAGAGGTCAAACTCTGCGTTAAGTTTTCGAACACACAGTTCAGACTTGGCGTTAATTTTCATCAACGCAGAGGTCAAACTCTGCATTAAGTTTTCGAACGCACAGTTCAGACCTGGCATTAATTTTCATCAACGCAGAGGTCAAACCCTACGTTAAGTTTTCTAACACACAGTTCAAACCTGGCGTTAAAATTTCATAAACGTAAGGGTCGGACCCCTGACGTTTCGAATTCAAAACGCAGAGTCTTAACTCTGCGTTACAATAACAAAACGAGTCTTCTTCCTCGTTTGCAAGAACCCATCTAGGGTTTTCTCAAATAACTTTCCGAAGCAAGTTTGACGACGATACATCTCGGGTTTTTCCGAGAACTCGCCGAAGCAAGTTTGACGGCCACAAAGGGCGACACTTACCACCGACGGGGGGAACCTGAGGCGGTGGCGCTGCTGCAGCAGGAGATCTTGGGCGAGGAGCAGCTTTCTTCTTGGAACCCATGGAGAATAAGGATCGGAGAAGATGAACAGGGTCACCGGAGTTGAAAACGAAGAGTCTTTGTTAAAAATCTTCCGAAAGAGAAGAGGCAAAAAGTCGGGTGACTTTTGATTTGACCCCTAGCGGTCTATTTATAGACAGCTATGAGCTGTCAAATCGGGTCAGGGTTCTAGGCCCAAAACCCCGCCAAACGTGGCCTATGCGCTTGTGTTGCTTGAGCTTCTGAACGCAGAGTTCAGCCTTGCGTTCTAACGCCCTAGCACAGAGAATCCGCATGTGCGTCTACATTGATTAAACTCTTAAACGCAGAATTTAACCCTGCGTTTCAGTTCGATAACGCAAGAAATCTATCTGTGCGTTCTAATTCAATCAGATGAATTCCTCTATGTTTAAAGCCAAGACATGGTTCTAAATAAATAGAGGGAGGCTAATGTCAGCCATCAAGGTGACTAAAGCCAAGAAGAAACAGGTGACTCCACTGAAGAGTCCATTGGATGAGTACAATTAGATTACAATCAACCAAGTTTGACAATGTCTTCTAAATTTTAGGATCCAAAGTATTCCAAAAATTCGTCCCAGTCAACCGTAAACTTTCGAAAACTTTGAAGGGGGTTCTGTAGGCTGTCTAAAAATCACAATAGATAGCCGATCCCTATCAAGCCCTGATAATGGAAGTTACAATCAGACGATTTTCTAATCACTGCATCCGCAACTCTGCAACCGCTATAAACACGGCCTCATCTCTGAGATGATTGATCTTGATGGCTGCGACAACAACGTGACTAATATTATATTAGCAACTATTAGAGATGCTGATGAGCAGTGTAATGATTTTAGAAATAAAAGGTTGGACTTAGTTGGTGAGTTGCTTGGTAGAGAGCTGTGGGCAAATATTCGTCCAGAAGACACTATGGATGTTGATTCCCGTCAAGCTCCAACAACGGAAGCTACAACCAAATAGCTTTCGCGCCGACAATCGAAAACGGCAAATGGGAGACTTTTCATACAGATCGAGAAGAGTTACAATTCGACGACACTTCCAACAGCTGATGAAAACTCTATTCAGTGGCCTTCACAATCGATGGTGAGAGTTACAATCTGACGACTCTCATATCTTATAACGGGCAAAGATCAATAAGCAATGGCCTTTGCAATGTTATAATAGAGATTACAAGTCAACAACCTCTCTCAAACGCAGAAGTTAACTTTTGCGTTTCTCAAATTTGAAACGCACACAATCTGTGCGTTCTCCAGTAGACATCTAACTCTGTAGCGCAGAGTTAAAGCACAAAACGGAAACGCACACAATCTGTGCGTTCTCCAGTAGACATCTAACTCTGTAGCGCAGAGTTAAAGCACAAAACGCACACATAACGTGCGTTCTTTAACAGACTCAATTATGTGTCCCGAACTCTGGACGCAGAGTTGAACTTCAACGCACCAGCGACCTGTGCGTTTCCAATTTCAGAACGCATACGGCCTGTGCGTCTCAAATCTCCAACAGAGATTTAACTCTGCGTCTCAAGCCCTGGACGCAGAGTTAAAGCCCAGAACGCCAACTGAGGCGTTTTGACTTGTTCAAACGCAAGCCGAACGGCCTCAAAACCGTTATCCCACGTTCTGAGGGATCTTCGCCCACTCAGGAGCGGATTTAGGGGTTGGTTACACCCCTAATCCCCCTATAAATAACCGCCTTACTCAACTGAGTAAGGGGTTGATCGGTTTTATGACAGTAAAACCGCATAAGGGTTGAGGTGAGCTGGCATCAAAATCGCCCAAGGTCAACAAATCTCAGCAGTTCAACAGCACGAAGAAGG